TCATGGATGAAGTTGCAGCTTGAAGAAAAGAGTGCAAGAAGATGGCACACGGGTTCTTGATGGTCGCGCAGGTGAAACAGTAGATCACTCTATCCCCCCGCCAGTATGTGCCGGTACATCCTAGCCGAACTTCCTGAGCACTGCTCCCAGCACACAGCCGGAGGATCTACAGAAACACGTTATCCGGCCAATAATTGCACAGAACGTCCGCAGTTGCCTGATCTAGACTACTTTCCTGTGCCCCAACCCGCGGCTCGCAGCATACGACCATGTAGTCTGACGTTGATCCAGCGCTGAAATACGCGAGAGGCATGCGTAGCTAGGTGAGCCGGTGCACGCAAAGCCGCTTGGCTTCGTAGTAAGGCCGTGTATATAAAGAGGTTGAAGACACTACTTTGCTGGGCAAGCATTCGCTGAAGTCTTGGTTGCTCTTCTTTCCGACAAGCTTCCCACCATGGCGCGCTTCGCTCAACTCGCCGCCGTACTGGCCGCTGCTTCGCTAGCCAATGCTCGCGCGCCGTTCATCAAGGAACGCCAAGTGCCCGCCGACCCTACCGGTGTTACGACCATCACATCTGCTGCTGGTGCTAAGATCACGTACAAGCAGCCTGGCAAGGCTGGTGTTTGCGAGACCACCGAGGGTGTCGACGACTATGCTGGTTACATCAGCCTCAACCCGACGACGAACATGTTCTTCTGGTTCTTTGAGGCTCGCGAGAACCCCTCTGAGAAGCCATTGGTAAGTACTGTGTTCGTGAAGCGTTACTACAATGTGTACTAATCATATTATCAGACCTTGTGGTTGAACGGAGGACCTGGAAGTGACTCTCTCATTGGTCTGTTCCAGGAACATGGCCCTTGCAACGTTACCGAGGACTTGAAGACACAGCTAAACCCTTACTCGTGGAATGAGCGCAGCAACATGCTGTACCTCTCGCAGCCTGTCGGTGTGGGCTTCTCTTACGAGACCACCGAGACGGACGAGGATGGCCGCTACTCGCTTGTCGACCCGGACACTGCAAACACCACCGATGCTGCAGCCATTGGTGCATGGCACATTCTCCAGGCTTTCTTGGAGCTGAGTCCACAGCTCGACCCCGATATCACCAACTTCACCTTCAACCTCTGGACTGAGAGGTAGGTCATATGATTGTCCAGAGATGATCGCAATGCTGACAATGTCCCCAGTTACGGAGGTCACTACGGCCCAGGCTTCTACAACTACTTCTACCAACAGAACCAGAAGATCAAAAACGGCTCATGTGCCGGTGTCGAAGTCGAGATGGACACTCTCGGTGTCATTAACGGTATAATCGACGAGCAGATCCAGGCGCCCTACTACCCCGAATTTGCCGTAAACAACACCTACGGCATCAAAGCCGTCAACGACACCGTCTACACCTTCATGAAGAACGCTTACTACATGCCCGAAGGCTGCCACGACCAAATCGAATACTGCAAGCAATCCGACCGCACCACCGAAGCCGGCTACCTCACCTGCGCGCAAGCCACCAACCTCTGCCGGTCCCTCGTCGAAGAGCCCTACTACGCCTTCGGCGGCCGCGGCGTCTACGACATCCGCCACCCCTACGACGACCCCACACCCCCGGACTACTTCGAGGACTTCCTCAACATGGCCTCCACGCAAGAAGCCATCGGCGTAAACATCAACTACACCAGCACCAACGCGCCCAACGTCTCCTACGGCTTCTCCACTACCGGCGACTTCGTCTTCCCCAACTTCCTCGAAGACCTCGAGGAGATCCTCAGCTACGGCGTCCGCGTCGCCCTCCTCTACGGCGACGCAGACTACATCTGCAACTGGTTCGGCGGCGAAGCCGTATCTCTCGCTGTCAACTACACGGACTCTGAAGCTTTCCGCGCTGCGGGCTACACTCCTTTCCTTGTTGATGGCGTTGAATACGGTGAGGTGCGCGAGTATGGTAACTTTTCGTTTACTAGGATCTATGAGGCGGGGCATGAGGTGCCGTATTACCAGCCTGTGGCTAGTCTTGAGCATTTCAAGAGGGTGCTGGATCATGTTGTTATTGCGGATGGGAGTCAGGTTGTTACGGATGATTATAGTACGAATGGGACGGCGGAGAGTACGCATACGGAGGAGTTTGTTCCGTTGCCGCCGACTAGTACGCCCAGTGCTAGTGCTGTTAGTAGGGTTAAGAGGGGTGTCGCTTAGATAGTTGGTGGCTGTAAAATCCATGGCTATATGTAACAATGAAAGCTACTGCGCTTCAGAAATTGCTCTATGTGTCTTACCACCTATTCCAGCCGCGAAAACTTTGGAAGCCTGCCTTATCCAAGTCACTTTAGTACTACAATCTCTTGTTCCATGCCCTGCCAACAGCTCTGGACACCGTAGAACCCATGCACATACGCAGCTCCGATGAATTCGTATTCAGGCCCATTAGCGTTCAATCTGAGCACGTACCCAATGCTTCCGCCACCTTCGAGGAAATACACTGCATCCCCTTGCTTTGTGTCTGGTGGTACAAGCAAGAAGTATCCAGTCCGCGTGGTTGCGACGCGTCTACCAATCGATGCGTAAGGTAGTGTCGTTGCAAGCCAGTCCTTGGACCATAGAAATGACGTATTTCCTTGTCTAGAGAAAACGAATGCTCGAGCTCGGCTGTGACGATGATACGGGCCACGTCGCCATCTCTCTTGCGCGCAATGGTTCGTCGAAAATGGCTTGAGGATGTCTGTCGATTTCAAACGCGGGTGGCGTCCGACTCTCAACCAGAAATCGCCAATGGTGTATGGATGTATTCGTACACCTTTGGGCCATCGTTCGCGACGAAAGGGCAAGGCGGTGATCTCTGGAGCTGACCCGCCAGTGTATAGAGATGCCCACTCGTCGAAGCGCGTAGCGTCAGGCATGTGTAGCGTGGTGTCCCAGATGGAGCCGGTCGTCTCGATCGTGTCTAGCTTGTATCCTCTCAGCGTGACTGTTCTCCCATCGGCACTAAAAGTGGCTACTGGAGCCTGATTACTAGTTTTTCGAAATGGTGGCATCCATGACCTGTCAGGCCATATGTTGTTGTGAAAGTGGGATCTGTAATGCAGAGGATTGGATATGCGTTGCATTGGAAACAGTCGTTGCGCGGTCCAGTCGGGTACCCAGGAAGGCAAGTCGACTATGTTCGGTGCCGCGTTCTTGTAGCAAAGGATCTCCAAGGAGCGTTCGGTCTCGATGCTGTAGCGCGCTGCTCTTAGATAGACTTCGGCTACAGGAAGTGTGTAGTCGACGTTTAACAGCCACGCAGACTCTGCCTGCGCAGTACTTGAGCTCAGCAAGTTAAGTAATGAAAAGACCTTGTCACGAGGATCAGTAGCCAGACAGAAGCGGCTGTCTTGAAGAACCTTGGTCAGCCGTGGCTCTAACCACAGGAAGAAACGAGCGTACAGCCACTCGTTGTATTTGTTTGTGAGCGCCCCGTATCGATCCAAACACGAGAAAGACGAAGGGCCTGAGACATCCATAGCCGTCCAGGTTGTTACGATCATCTCGTGTTGGCGAACTGAGGGCGGGAATTGGAAGAAGCTGAACTTTTGCCCAGGAGAATATGAACCAAACCAGCTGGCAGTTCTGGATAGCTTGTCCCATGTCATCTCGTTGCCCTTGTAGTAAACAATGATCTTCAGCGTGTTGGACATACTGATTTCTTGCAGGATCCAGACTCTTCGAAACCACGGATGGGCGAATAAGACCTGACATTCTTTCATGGTATCGCCGAATCTGGAGTCAGAAGCTTTCAGTAGTTCAGCAAAGAGTTTCCGGGTACTTAGAGCTGTCTCGGGTTGTTCAGGCCCCTCCACTGAGCCCAGAAAGACAACAGTCCTCATCGCATGCTTGTAGACTAAGTGCATTATCGGCACCTGATTGTTGCGCTCTTGAATGTCTTCTTGGTTGATACAAAGCTGATCGATCCAAAGCGTACGTCTCTTATCCGGATGGCGCAAGACTCGGAGGGCTTCCTGGAGGGTGCTGGTAACGCGAAGATAGAAGCCGTCGCACTCGACACGATGGCATCGATTTGGTATTCCCCATGTGTACGACAGCGCTTCATATGAAACACGCTGGTTGATCGCTATGTGGCGCAGACTGCAAAGTACATCATCTTCCTTGTTGCCTGGCAGAAGGTGAAGTACTCGTATCTGTGTAGGCGGCGAAGCGGTACTGCCACCAAAGCTTTTGTAGACGTATGGCTCCATGCGATGCTGCAAGGCGTGTTCAGGCTTGCGAATATGGCCATGCTGACAACCAGGCTGAACGAACAAAGTGAATGTTGGGGGCCAACGCCCATGCGCTCATGCCGAGCCATGTGGCTTCCTATCTTTCAGCCAGCTGCTCCCACACACATCGCACAGGCTTTATATCTGCTCCTCTTGTATCGCTGCCCTCTTGCCTAGCAGATTCGCTATTAATAACTTTCGGAGGTTTCTTCGCGCCCGCGACGAAGCGCGTAGCCGTTCTTAGCATGGTGCGCGAGCCCGTCTGGGCATGACGTCACATGTCGCGAAGCTACGCCGCACTCTCGCTGCACGCTTCCTGCTTCAGCCACCATCACCATCACAAATCGAAGTCGCTATGCATGCGCACTCGACGGAAAGAGTACCACTCCGACAGAACGTATGCCGTACACGCAAGTCCATTTCAATGCCCTCAACATGAGAGGTTACTCACGTGTAACGTTCGCGCATTCGCTGCACGACCACGCGTCAAACGCGTCTCAAAAGCCTCCAGTCACCTGCAGATAGTCATGTATTGTGACGCCAAGCTCACAACGCTACATGCATATGCAACTCGCGCCACCAACAATGGTATCCAAACGCCAGCTCAAGCCTTGGAACGTCACCGTTGAGTTGAGAATCAAGATGCAGTGAGGCTGTGTCGGCCCCCAAAAAGATGCCGCACCCCACATGCTTTCTGAGACCCTTCGCCTCTGGGGCTACACGCGACGGTCGTACGGCGCTTAGACAGCATGTACAAGCAGCTGCAAGGTCAAGAAGATCTGACCGGATATGCACGCAGTGTAGGAAAGTCCCCAAGGTACGAGTCCACTTTGTGTGACAACGAGTAGTACAGGCTGACAAGATGGCAATAGGGCCGCATCCACGGATGCCAAGCAGTACGAGAACTCTACAATCGAAGGCGAATCGGATATATCGAACTCGAAGCCTCCTACCTACGAGCTGGTCAACGACAAAGCATACCACGATGACGACTTTCTCCTGCTGGCAAGAACTCTGGAGCCTGACTGTCCCGTCCCTACGAAGAAGCGCTTCTTTACAGGATGGCGCATGGGCGCGCTCGCATCGGCTACCTGCGCTATATTGGTGTTCAGCATGAATCTCGCGGTTACGATCTGGGTCTGGAAGAACCCCGATTACGAGCATGCGAATGGCGTCGGGACATTATTTCAAGGCAGCTGCTCTACTGTTAGAGAAGTGAACGTCTACGTCCACTTAGTCGTGAACATACTCAGTACCTTATTGCTGTGCAGCTCAAACTACTGCTAACAAATCCTTGCCGCGCTGAATTGAGAAGAGCTGGGGCGTGCGCACGCACGGCGAAACTGGCTGCACATTAGCGTTCCTAACCTCCGCAACCTATGGCATGTTGGAAGGGATCGCTCTGTGTTGTAGATTTTGTTGTTTCTCTCGTCTGTACCGTTACATTTGTTGTTCAACTCCGTTGTCTTTATAAACCTGCAGGCAAATGAGTATGCTGTCGTACCGACGACGCCTGAATGGGTAATATCTACGCAAGACGTTTACGACACCTCGGGCTTCCTGAACATCAGAACAAGCGCCACGGAAGTGATCTCCTCAGCAGTAAGGGATTACAAGTTCGACCCCTCCGATGTGGTCGTGTTGAGGAACGGCAGCACGGTGCCCAAATACAGGAACTTCAGCATATCCGAATGTCTTACAGCATACGGCACGCAGTATGTTTCAGCAGTTGGGAATTTGTACTTGATCCAAGCAAGCCCGACGGTTCTGCGGGACGCTACTGCCTGGATTGGTCGACGTTATCGGAACGGCTCTCTCGAATGGGTGTTTCAAACACTGGACACGAAAGAAGAGGACCTCAAGAACAATACTTATGTTACCGAAGCCCCAAATCAACAACTTCCGGTGATGAGCACGCCAGAAATGTATCCTTCCAATGGGTGGCGCTGTCTGCCTCATCCTCCTGTCAATTGTAAGTTAGCTCAGTATCCGCCGCCTGCGAATATGAGATATTGACTAGACTTGACACAGGCGATCCTGACGATGAGACCGCAATTCCAAGCAATCGATTAGCGTGGCAACTATTTGAAGTACCCGTGGCATACTGCACTATCGAACAAGTTGAAGAGTTTTGCAAGCTGCAGTTTAGCTTTACTATTGCTATAGCGGTTATTGTGGCCAACTTTGTTAAAGCAGTTTGTATGCTACTATTGCTTTGTCTGTATTAGAATCATGGCGCGCTTGTAACCATCGGGGATGCAATCGCGGCTTTTCTCAAAGATCCAGATACCAACACCTGCGGTCGTTGCCTGCACGCCAAAAGAGACGTTGACCTTCGATAGAACTGGAATAAATACGCTCACATCCTCAGAGTGGCACGCAATCATAAGCCCGCGAGGTTTACATTAAGAAGACAGAGGTAGGCCAGAGCTCCGAGCACCATGCGGTAGTGGTTAACGTACTCTGTGTAAGTTGTGTGCGAGCCGTCTGCGGTTATCTACTAACCTCTTCAGTTACACCATTATTACTGCGCTCAGTGGACTCTCCATAGCACTTTCCTTAGACGGTATGCCCAAAGACCCTGTAAAACTATAGAAGACAGGGTTTGCAACAGTCAACGGCAACAATCTCCTAGACTTCAGCACATTACTAATTCCGGGCGTGCTTTTAGCGAATACACCTTAACTAGTCCTCTCATACTTATATATCGCGCTAAATGCTCTCTACACAAACATGTTCGTCGCAGCAGAGTAGGCAAGCTACGTTAAAACACAGAAATCACTCCGCGTCACATCGCCCACTAGCCTCCAACGCGACTCGTACTAGCTCAACGTACCCTTCCGCTACGCTATTCCCATGACCATTATGTCAGGTCTCTTCCACTGGCTCGCGTCACAAAGCATATTCAAAGTACAAATCTCCATCACAGACATGCACACGCGCAAAGCCGCTAGCGAAGTCTCAACATGTGGCTATTCCCCCGTCGCTATCATCCTGACCACGGTCGTTGGTTTCACCATCGCAGCCGGCGGTCTCGTCATCAGCAGGTTCTGGTATCTAGCTGGTATACCCCTAGCTAGTAGCTGTTCTGCTGCTATTAGCGCGGCGTGTCATGCGCCACTGGAAGATGTCAATGCCAGTCTTTTACCAGTACAGTGGGGTGCTGTTACACATGGGAAAGCGGGCGAGGATGGGGAGGAGCCGATCGGCCATTGCTGTTTTACGAGCTTCCCGGTTGAGATGCCTATCCCGGGGCGGTTGTACGCATGAAGTGTATGAGTAACGCGAATCTCTCTACGCCGTCGCAGCTCTAATAGCAGCAGGAACATCACAACGATCAATCTACATTAAAGCAGACAAAGAACGGTCAAGCTAATGATATAGCGCTCATGTTAACGCTAATTCTATCCGAGCGCAGCGCCTTTCTCATCTGTATCTATCGACTATCCACTCCGGGCCCTTTGCGACCATGCCACCTTCTACCAAGATATTGATCGCGTTACTAGAGCTCCTTACCGAATGGTCATCAGTCTTTTGCTTCGCGCACCGCTGCTGTTTCGCGTCCCCGAACTCCCTGCTCATAGACTATTGTGACTTGTTCCACCATGCCCCGAACTTGGAGATCAGTCAACGAACTTATTTCCCCTTGTTGCCGTAATCTCGCCAAGACATGGTCCTCGAGAAACGGCGCATTGATAAGTATTCGAAAGTTGGTCGGTAGCGCGACTGCACCGGTGTGTTCATCTCGACAATCTTCCAAGAAGGTTTGAGCGCTTGGTATCCAAAACGCTTTTTCTCTTTCAGATAGCGTAAGAAGGGATTCGCCAGTAATGACGATTTCCACAGCTACCATCCACATCAACGCCAACCCTTGCCGATGCGCCTCACTTGGTCGTAGGTCGTACGCCCATTGAACCTCACACAACGGATGGCTTCTGCTATATGCCACCCATGCATTCAGGGAACGCTGAAACCTATCTTGGCACGGCCAGTAAATCCTGACCGATGGCATACCGTCCAACTCGCTGTGGTATGGAACCTGAATAGACAGTCTTCGAATGTATCCAAGGCGATACACGTCATAGTCCAAACCCCTGACGAAGCGACACAGTATTCGGTGATGCAATAGTAGTCGCTGAGCGTTGTCATCGACGTGGACTATGTTGAGTTTCAAAGGGAGCTTTTGCGTCTCTGCGCGAACTTGGCGACAGACGAGTGTGAGGGGGTTCGTGATGCGGCCATCAGCGGCGTTTCTTGGGCGGAGTGTGATGGAGCTTGTGAAAAGTCGTGTCAAAGGTACGATTGACAGCCCATCTTCGTAGTAGAGAGCGTATTCATATATCATGATACGCAGCTCTAATGGTAGATCAAGAAGCGGTGAAGGGCCCATTGGTTCTGGCGAGGGCGAGTTCCTTGCTAGCGATGACAATGAGGAGATGTAACCGCCCATGGTGATGGTGAAAAGTCGGGGGTTGAGAATGCGCGCTGGTAAGACCGAAGGGTTGAGAAGGGTTCTTATCTCTCGAGAGGAGTAATCGGCCGACCCAGAAGCGTAGGAGCCTTGACTGTCGCCACTTCCAAAATCACCGCTACTGTGAATGACTGCCAAACCGTCAAAGATCATGATCTCGATGCGTGGAACTTGTAGCTTGGCCACCGAGCGTACAAATGGGGTTCTGCTCCACCGCTGTATTTCTACAACCACACAAGACTGCTCCACCAGTCTCAACTACCCACCCAACGAACACACACCACAACTATGACTTCAAGACACGAGCAGCCTCTGCGATTTCGGAGCCACCCAGCCGATACCCCAGACCGCAGCGGCGTATGCCACTATCTCAAACTCCCTCGAGAGATCCGAGACATCATCCACACGTACGCCTTGACGTACGAAGATGGCCTAGTTGCTACTTCAGAACCCACCCGACATGGCCCAGGGCATTTCCGATGGTCGCCGAGTCTCCAGCCTTTCCAGTACAGTGAGCGACCAGCGGAGAACTACGATGGCGCTATCTTCAAACCCGGTGATTGCAACCCTCTTCGCTTAGTCTGCCATCAGACACGCGCTGAAACACGCGGGCTTTCGTTGAGCTTGAATGACATTTCCTTCTCTTTAATACCACAAGGAAATAGTCGCTGGCTCGATAAGGATTATGAGAGGATCTTCAAGGACTTCTACGACGAGTGCAGTCTAATCAATCGAAATCGCCTGCGCAAAATGACCGTTCACATGTCTACAGACAGAGTCAGAAGATCAAGCATAGTAAGCATAGACCGAACTCGCGAAATTCTCAACTGGTTTACCTGGAAATTCTCCCTCCATGACAACATCTCCATTATTCTCCGCTTTAACATGGACTGCGCCCACTGTTTCATGAGGAACGTCGTCGACCCGGAACACTACATCAAGGAAACCCGCATGTGGAGTCTGCTGCGCCACGAAAGATTCCCTGATCGGCCTGGAGCGGTGGGCGGGTGCCACATGCACACGTTGCCGATTCTTAAATGGCCTGTACCGTTTGCGCATAATGTGCGTTTCTCGATCTTGCAGGAGTTTCCGGAAGATGTTGTGGAGGCGCAGTGGAGGGCGGCTTGTGGGAAGTGTGGTGAGTCTGGTCGGAAGGATGCGATTTGTACCTGTGTGGAGGGTATAGCGGGGTCACGGAGGGTGTTTGAGGAGGGCTTGTAGGCTGCGGTGGGGTGTTGCGTGGAATCAGCGTATGGTGGCGACAGCCGTTCAGTGTTCACGTCTTCTTGGTCTACTTGTAGTTTGATCACTTGCCATAGAAGCTTTAATTAGCTTTCTATATGTACTGTGTCGTAATGATACTTGCAATACAATAATTGCAAATTGTTCCGCAACATGCCTACTAAAGTCTATATACCGAAAACGTCGCGTTCCTCCCATGACTACGCCGCCGCGCTATTCTCCGCCAACACCCCATTCGCCGTGGCCAGCTCCCCCATCGCCTTTCCACTCACGTTCTGCTTACTCTTGAAGTACTGCGTGAAATCATGTCGAACCTGATGTATAGTCTCTGCAACGCTCTTCCCCCACACCGGATCATCACTCGCCCTCTCACACATCTTGAAGAACTCCTTCCTCTTCTCCTCATGCTCGGGGTCCCAGAGGCGGTGGAAATTTTCGCGCGACATGGGGTCGATCATCTCGCGCCAGATCTTGATGCGGATTTCAGAGTACTTGTCGAGGATGGAGTCGTCGAGTTCGTCGAGGTGGATGCCGGTGAAGCAGTCGTAGAGGGAGCCGACGTCGGCGAAACCGCCTGTGAGACCCATGCCGCCGCTGATGTTATGTTAGTAGAGTCCGCTCATCATAAGCTGGTATACATACAATGGATTGCACAGATGCGCTGCGTCGGCGACTAGTACAATTCGGCCTACGCGGAAGCTGGGCGCGCATCTTTGTTGGAGTTTGTAGGGGCTCATGCTCTTGAGCTTGTACTCATTGGGCTTGGGGTGACCGGGTAGGATTTGCTCGTAGCGGAGGGGTTGGCGTTTTACGAGCTCTTCTTTTGAGAGGCCTTCAGAGTCGCCGTATGTCACTCGCCAGAGACCGTCGTTGGTGATCTTTGCAGCCATGTACCAATCCGTGGGGTGGACGATGAAGTTTGAATCCCACCAGTCGAATTTCTCGTCGAAGGGCAGGTAGACATTGGTAGCAACAATTTGCGCCTTCAACGTCTCTCCCGGATATTCCTTCCCGAACAAAGCTGTGCGCACACCACTTGATGCGCCATCAGCACCAACTAGATAATCGCCTGTAATCTTCTTCTTCTCGCCATCAGTTGTCTCGACAACCGCGGTCGCGCTGTTGTCGTCTTGCTCCACACCGGTCAATTTGTGGCCCCACTTGATCTCGGTGTTCGGGTAGCTTTCAAAATGCTTCACAAGTAGGGGGCCTAATTGATCGAGCGGTAGTACAACCATTGCGTATTTTGAGTCTTCTGGCTCGCGGCCCATGCCACCTAGAAGGGTTCCATCCTGCAAGCGCCAGCATACACCTTTGGGGTGCAGCCCGACAGCACGTACATCGTCTATGATGCCTGCGCGATGGAAGTCGTAGACCGCTGAAGGCGCATAGTGAGCAGCCCGCGGGTTGTCGTTGATCTTGGTATCCGCATCGAGGATGGTAACTTTGATGCTGAGGTTCTTCGCTAGAAGAATTCCAAGTAAGAGACCGGAAGGGCCAGCTCCTACGATGACG